AAATCTTTGAAAAAACTATGAATTATGAATAAGTTGAATATCTAGTTTTTTATTCACAATTTATACAATTAACATTCGTTTCAAAAGATATTTGAAATTTTTAAATGAGTAAAGAACATTAATATTTAAAATCAAGGATCAAGTTAAAATACATTTTTATCATGAAAATTGAGGAGCTAACATTGACATTATCAAATAAAATTTACATGAATAATATCTATTGGAAGAGAAACAAATAAATTCAAGCTAAATTCAAAAAAAAATGATAAGATCTTATAAATTTTAAATATAATATAAAATTATTATTATTACTACTTTTATAACTTGAGACTTAACATGTTCAGGCAATCTTATTTAAAAGCTGTAATTTCAAATCTATTATGTTTTATAATTGATAAAGTTTGTACTACAAATATTATTCAATAAAGATATAAGATCACGTTGAAAAATTTAATAAGATTTAAAATCTTGAAAGTTATCAGCTATTTAGTAAAATTAGTTTCATTTACCCAATAACAATTAGAAACTCATAAAAATTTTATAATTTTAATGGATTCTCATTTTTTAATATAAGAAAATAATATTTCAAAACGTTAAAAAACGATATGTTAAAGATTTGACAAAAATAATTAATTAAAAAATGATTTTTTTTCAGCAATATGATTCAAAATTGTGAAGGATTTCATTAAAAAATATACTCTTAATAAGAAATATATAATATGCTTTCAATCAAAAAAGGCTTATGATGAAAAATAATGATAATTTTTTATATCAAATGAAAAATATTCAAGAAATTAAAGTTTTTATTTTATCAAAATTCAAATTTTGAACAAAATAAAACGTTGATTCACTCAAATTTTAATTTTACATGATAGAAAATCACTTTTTGCTATTCATAAAATGTTAATTTCAGAATTTTCCAAATGAAGTTCCAAACAAGTATTTCTTAAAGTTGATGAGATGTTGATTTTTTAAATACTTCATTTGAATTTTAAACAAGTCTTGAGATTTATGACGTGTTAAAATTTTAAAATTCTTGAGTACAATTTTATACAAACAATTTTTTAAGATGAAAATATGTGATAATATTATTTTCATATGACACAAATTTTAAAAATTAAAACCATATTAAAAATTTACTTTTTTGATGAAATTCATCACATAAAAAATTTGACTTGAAATGATTCATATTTTATATTAAAAATTAAAATAATTTATATAATTGATACTAGACATCTTAAAATATGTTTTTTAAAATTTATCTATTTAAAATAAAATAAAACGTTAATTTTCTAATTTTTCTAAATTTTACGAGCTTGTTACTTGATTAAGGTTAAAGTTTTGTGAACGTTGTTTTATGATCATTACATAGAAGAACAGTTTTTAATGTTGGGTGTTATAGTGTTAGAAGGTTTCTTATTATTTATATAGTAATGTGTAGGTATATTCTTCTAAATTTTATTTTGTAAAACTGATATATATATATATATATATATATATTAATGGTCATTCGAAATTTATATAGTTATATTTATTCACACATAACGTAGCTTTTATTTGTTATAGAAATAGTAACTATGCGATTATGCCCACTTACCGGTTTACGCCAACTTCAGTAAGCAAGTCCTAGCCGAAGGTGACAATACACCGGTTAGAAATTGGTGAAATGCTACATGCTACTGGTTATAGTAGGTAGGAACAACCTCCTGGGTTCCTTATTGAAACGTACAGTCAGTTTTGGACTTTATCATGTGACGATGTCATTGACCCTACCGATGAGGATCCACTTCCGAAAAACCTTTGCAAAAGACTTTTGGGATATCAATAAACATTCACATTTTGCAGGAGTGTTGTAGAAAATGCAGCGAAGGCGATCATCAAATTTGTCCTCATGTGTAGATGTGAAGAAGTATGTGTCAAGACCCGTGAAGATCTTGAAAACACTAATTAAACTACTAAATCAATATAATTCTCTGTGTTCGAAAGCGATCCTTACTCTTCAAACGAGATCTGTGTGCACCTTACTACTCTCTTTGTTACTTTGAGAAGTACATTGGGAAGCAAAATCGTATTCAACTTGATCTCTGCGGAGGTTACATCCGGGGAAGACTTCGATGTGTGGTTTAATTAAAAAATAGCAGATCCTGGAACGTTTAGCGCTCCGAATTATTTATTCAGATAGAATAGAAGTAAATATTTGAATCCATAGAATCAGACATATCTGAATTTGAGATAATGTGATAGACGTATGGTTCTTGTCTGCTCTAGATAAAAATTAAAACCTCAACATTGGCGCATGGGAAGAAAAGGAAACTAGAGCAGAAAGCACTAGCTGGTTACTTATTCTCTATATTTGTAACCTATCACTCATCCGTGCATAGACAGTCTCAGGTGAAGTATTAACGACCTCTGATAGCCATATGAAGTCACATTTGCGGTGGCCGGTGGATGGTGATCCACTAGAAGTCCGGAATCGGTGTGACCGGGGGCACAGGGGCCATGCCAAGTAGGCCGCAGTAGCCCTGACAGCGTGTCCAGTCAACGAGTCCTTCAACCACGGCAATCAGCTAACCGAGCACATCTATTTCGGGGAAAGCCGACAGCGCCAGCTGGTGCTTTCGGATGTACATTGTACGTCTTCAGTAGGAGAGTTGATGTCGGTACCTTCCACCGATCGGGAGAGCTGCATCCTTTTGGCTATATTACTCGGTGAAGTTGCTGGGCTATCTTTGCAGTAAGAACGGACGCACCTCCGATTCTCTAACCCGGAAGCCTTGGAGTGCAATATTTTATAGTCCACAGAAAGTAGACGGAAGGAAATCAAAAGCCATTTGAAACACCATTAACTGGAGCATGCAGCAAAAGCAAGCTAGAAGTCCAACCCAAGGACCAAAATGAAGTAGCCAACAATGTTTTTAAATCACGATGTAACATAATTTGCATGAAGGTGGCATTTGGTCTAATATCACCTACATGCTGATAACTAAATGTGTGACAACTGGATTTAGATAACTATTCTTTAATCTAAAGATTCTTGCACGGTGAAGTGACTATTTCAGCCAATATAAACATTGATCTTCAAAAAGAAATAAAGGAAATTTTATTTTAGTAATTTATACCCAATCTTTACGGCAGTATCATCAAGGTCTAAGCTATAAGTTTGTATCATTAAAAACTATTTAAAATTAAAGTACATCCCTAATCCCGTGACAATGAAAAGTAGTTATATGTTTATTAATGTACAGTTACAAATATTTTCTCTGTAATTAAAGTACTTATACTTACTTATAAAACATAAGTTATCCGTATGAAATCCTCACTTTATGTTTTAACTTATGAGGGATTTCTTTTTATGGGTCATATCTGTTGTGTAATTGTAAACTAGTTTGTGATTTTAAAGTAGCCACCCATCAATGTTTATGCTTTCTTAATTGGAGGTTTGGATGTAATGTGTTTCTCTGTTACTTCTAAATAAAGTCTAAATATTGAATCAACTATGCGACGTTTATGGTGAATTTTTTGTTGTATCAATGATAAACCAAAACGCCCTCGCACAAGAGATAAAGAGCAACTGTGCAATAGTAAGCATTGTCCAGAAATAGATCACGGGAGCTGGAAACTGTTACGATGACATGAGAAACCTCCCCTGGCCAACTACCGCTCAACTGTTGTTCCATATGTAATGTGTTGAATGTAGCATTGGAGCTTGGCGTCGAAGAGTCCCTCGACGTGTTATAATACTTCTCACGAAAGTCGAAAATTGAGCGTACATGTGAAAAGTAATAAAACGAAAAGATGAGATATTGTACGATCATGGGAAATTAATAAATTTTCGTTATAGTAGTGCAGTTGTGAACAAAGGTTTCCATGTGGCATAGAGTTTGTTCGAACTTGATAGAGGTGCACAGCGGAGAGGAAGTTAAAACAGTTGAAATCTAAACTTTTGTAGGGAAAGTAAAGCGGTAAGACATGGCATGTGTTTATTTCATGTGATTATTGCTATTTCAATCCCGTATTGAGATATTGCTGGTTCGAGAGATTAGGAGCAAGGATGTAGAATTGCTCGAATCAAACCAGAGTGCTATTTATCGTGGACTGCTATCTGAGAGAGGTAATTCTTAGTCAAGCGGAGACAGCCGTACGGCTGATGATATTGAATGGGCAGAACGAGAGTAATTAAATCCACGAGCATGATAGTTTTTAACACCTAAAAGAATAAACAAAATGCACCGATGCTTTAAATTTTTTTATTGTTGTTGCCCAGTGCTACGTACGAAAGGGTGGAATGAGAAGAACAAAATGAGCGTACAAAATTCTAACAGTTCCGCCCGTCACGAACAGCGAGCGAGCGATGTGGGCACTGGGTAGCCAATGGTGCGGATTCCAGTCAAAAGTCGGTCCGGATCACGATCCCACGTAGAAGACACCGTTAGAGCTCCTATGCCAGGACACAAACCATCACCGCACGTTGTGCAGTCTAATGAATATCGGGTGCTCGTCAAACGCCGTCCCCCGGTCCTGCCCCGGTCCATCGTTCGAAGCACGGCCCGTGGAACGGTGGGGGCCGACCGTGGGCCTGTTGCAAGAAAATTCAACGCCCCAGGAGAGCAGGAGCAGGAACAGGACGGACGGTATCGACGGTAGTCAAGGGGAGGGGGGGAGGGGGGGAGGGGAGGGGGCAGGCCTACAGGGTGACAGGGGCCGGAGGTGGGGTACGTGGCAGCAGGAGCACGGGCGGGTATCTATCGAGGTGGAAAGGGTAGGCTGGTGACTGGAAAAGCTTTTCGGTTAGGGTTTAGGGTAGTGCGGAAAGCGAGAGTTGCAACGCCCGACGAGGCGAACATACCGGCCGACGGAAAGGAGACTGTGCTGCAGCAGGGGAGGCGACGAGAAAGTACCGCCGAGCAGACACCGACTGGTGGCGGACAACGGACCAGGCCGGTACCTGTACAATGTACAAGTACTGCTGAATCTGTTGGTGCTGTTGTGGGTTGTTCGTCTGAGGGGGCGTGATACATCTAGCGATTCTACCGATTCTACAGTCGGATCCGATAGCGGAGGCCGCAGCATTTAGATCTCTGCGGGCGGGCTGCCGCATGAATCGAGCGCCTGGAAATTAAGCCCCGAGCGAGAGAGACGAAGTGAGGGAAAAGAAAAGGTAAGTGCCCTCGTCACCGCTAGAGATCAGTAGAGTGGTACCGTAGTCTGGGAATATCAAGTTCTTGATCAAGCGCTGGTGCTGCTCTAGGGTGGACCGCTGCTGGTGAGACTCATCTATGGCACCTTTTTCTAGAGGGTAGAGCTGAGTTGTAGACTGGTGTGTTTTGTCTTTAATCTTGGATCTGGGCGTTAAGTGAGCTTATGGACCAGCTTGGGATTCTGTGGTTGCCGAAGAATGCAGACGATAGAAGTCGGAATGCAAGTCAGATAGAGGAACACTGACTAGAACTAGCTAGCTGCTGAGTTTCGAGGGTGAGTGGATGAGACAGAGAAACTTAGCTATCGTAGCTGCGCTGCAGTCTACATTTACTTGTCTGTTTCGCTCCTCATCTCAGCTCCCTTTCCGAAAGGACATTAGACGATTTGGAAGTTCTTCTCTGTTCGCCCTGTCAATCTTCTCTCAATCCACTCGGCGAAATCGGATTGTTACAGGAGCTCTCAGCAAGGGCAGGTTTAGAGTGGACTCTGTGGGAATGGCCCCGGGCGGAGACACCCCAGCTCCCACTCCTTCGAACATGGGCAGCATTATGCCTGGGTGGTTTTCGGAGATCGGTTCCATGTGGCCTGGTTTGTGCATTTTCTCTCAGAGGTTTCCATCTTTCAAAATTCTTGCCTGCAGTCAGTGTCCTGTTCCAGCACTTGTTGTCCCTTTCTGCCTTGATCTGTCTGCACCATGAATTCGCATGCTGGTGTCAGGGAGGAGGTTGACGCCATTCGGTTCACTCTGCGTCATGAGAAACCTCTGCTTTTTTTCCACCTCTCTTCCGTCCCTTCAAACCAGATTTATCGATAATTTCTGATCTGATCTGATCTGATTCAGTCATGGTCAAATTCAGGAGCAGCATTTAATCTGCTTCGGAGACTGCAAATTGTATGGAGTCGTTATTTTTTCAAAGTAGAAATGTTGTGATGTTTTTGGGACAGGCGAAGCCCACTCCTTGAAGGTGGAGAAGAGCCTGTTCGATGGGCAAAGCGACTTCCAGCATGTTCAGGTTTTTCAGGTACTCTCAGCAAATATACCTTTAACTTGTACGCATTGTCAATTTTCGAATGTAATGCCGGGCAATCTGATTTGAATCAGGTGGGAATCGTATACTTACTTTCATTTGAACGTCACGTCAGGCCCTGACCACAGTTCAGCACGTTTTTACAGTCGGAAACCTACGGCAAGGTGCTTGTTTTGGATGGCGTGATTCAGCTGACGGAAAGGGATGAGTTCAGCTACCAAGAGATGATCACACATCTTCCGATGTGCTCTGTTACCGATCCCAAGAGGGTACGCTATCGTCTTTTTTACTTGAAGTTTACGAACGAGTTCCAAGACTTTTGTCGAATTCCAACTCCATCTATTTTGACGGCCTGTCCGATCGCCGCAGGTCCTCGTAATTGGAGGAGGTGATGGAGGTGTGCTCCGAGAATTGTCTCGACATAGTTCTGTTGAGAGGATTGATATGTGCGAGATTGACAAAATGGTGGTCGAGGTGAGTTTCGGTCAGATAAGGTGGTTCAGTTTGTACTTGTTCATATTTTCGCCTGGGGAACACGATTTAAGATTAAGAACCCTAGTAATCCTGGTTATAATTTGTAGCTCTTGAGTAAGTTTCCTGTTTGCTTCCTACTAGCGAATAAAAGGTCTACAGCAAAAATTTTACTTCAAAATTCGTGTTCTCACGGGAGATGTCCTTATGCTTGCAGGTTTCTAAGGAATTCTTTCCAAATGTTTCTATTGGATTCCAAGATCCGCGAGTCAATCTTGTCATTGGAGACGGTATGAAGCAGAAGAGCGAAACTGATTGGACATTTTCAGTATGGATGCCAGCATATGTCAATCTCAAATAGCGTCGATCTGACTGAGGAGGTTTGTGGGTCCAATTGGTAACAAAGTCAATCCATACGCATGCTCTTATGTTTTTTTGATCTTGGCTTTATTACACAGGTGTGAAGTTTCTACAAGAGGCCGACACCGGCACTTACGATGTGATCATTGTGGACTCTTCCGATCCTGTTGGTACGTTGGAATCCTCGGCCTCGGCGTTCATGTTCTTACGAGTGTTACTCTCACTGTCAGATTGTTGGACTTACAACCTTTAGCAATTTCAGACATTTTGACAGTCAGAAACAGCATCGTAATTTGTTCAACACTCTGACATTATCGATCGGCAGGCGGTCTAATGCAAAGGAAATTTGCCTCTTATCGTCCAGTGTTTCTGTCTATTTTCGAAATATTTTACGTATATCTTGTACCGACCTCAACGTGCGTTGCTGCTTTCAGGTCCTGCTGAAGGTCTTTTTCAGAAACCATTTTACGAGTCGCTTGCGAGGGCCCTGCGACCCGGTGGTGTGGCCTGCACGCAGGCAGAGAGTATATGGTTGCACCTTCCAATTATTAAGGAAGTCGTATCTATCTGCTCTGGAATATTCACTGGTTCAGTCAACTATGCGTGGACGAGTGTCCCAACCTATCCAAGGTATGCTATCCATAGGTTCCCTAGCTTGTTTGGAGTACATGTATTCGCTGTCGCTTTGTGCAAATGTATACACAAATGTATAATATGGTTTAGAACATCTTCACATGCTGTACAAGTTCCGTAGCGTATGTGGCTCATTGCAACTTATCTTTGTATATAACCGTGGGCATCTGTCTGTCTGCCCAGTGGAGTGATTGGGTTTATGCTTTGCTCAACCGAGGGTCCAACAAAAGTGAATTTTAAGAAGCCCGTTAATCCCATTGAAGGGATTGTTACGGGTGAAGCTGCGAAGTCTAGACTAATGAAGTATTATAACTCGGAGGTTGTCTTCCATCTTTCGTTACTTGTTTCGATGTCTTCACTTTGTCAAAATTTGAAAGTTCTTTTGCTAGTACACCTTATTTCTGTGTATATTACTTTCTAACATGTGCAATGCTACTCATGTTTACTGGTATACTCATGTATTGAACCTCGGATGATTCTATGTGACAGGTCCATGAAGCGGCATTCATTCTTCCTCAATTTGCGAAGAGCTTCTTGCAGGATTCTCTCAGTACATGAGTCCTGTTTCGATAGTAACAATAGTCTGTCAAAGGGCATTACTTGTTAGATGATTCCCTCGATTAGTTGAATCTTTTTCCTTTTATTGTAAATTGAGGTGAGACGGAATCCGGAAGAATTTTGTGTACCATTCCACCAGAAATATCTTCGCAGTAAAGATACCTTCCATGCCAGTGAGCTCTGCTTGAAATGACAGAAAGGATTATTTTCTTTCTCTATGGTTCCCAACCTAATATTGAGAAGCGTAGCGTTTCCAAGGTCAGGATGGCCAATATCTATTTTCTTTTCACTATCTTTTAACTCTGGTTGTAGGTCAGATAAATCATTAGCGATCTTTGAGGGCCCGACCGCTTATTCGATCCATCCACTTGCCAAATGGCAGGACGGTTATTCCGGCCCTTGTGAAATTACACCTTACACTGCTCGCTGATGACATGTTTTTATCGTCGTTCTATCAATGGCTTATCATATGATTTGGCGCTATTTTAGGCACCTAAAATTATCTTTAATCATCGGTTTAGTCAATTCATCATTCGTTTTCTCTAAAATAAGGCGATTGATAATCCTCAATTAAAAAATCGACAACGGATGAAATTGCAGACTATCCCCTAGATGTTATCTATCTTTTGGTAAATCAATGCTGCTCCAATTTCGTCTTTAGTCACTAGAGACAAATTTGGAATTTGTACACACTAGAGTCTAGTGTGTACTACAAGCAAGTTTACACTTACTTTGAACATCAGACGTCTAGAGGAATAGTTATTTGAAGGTATATAGTTGCAACTTGATAGATTTGCGTTTCAAAGTTATTCCAAAAGCTTTCTTAGCAAAAATTGATACTTTTCATTATTGAAAATGGATGTCAACTAATGTAGTAATAATGGAATACATCCTTTTATGTTTCATTTTGGTAAGTGCAATGAGCAAGAGATTTTTCCCATCATTCATTTTAACATTATGTTCGGAGAAGTAAAAAGAAAATGGATAAAAAATATTGAAAATCTTGTGAATTATTCATGTTAGTTGTATATGGAGTTCATGCATGATAATGTTTCATAATGATGGAAGATGTTTTAAGTTTCATCTACAATTAAGCAAAATCCATTTATGAATTATCGATCTCAATAACTATTATTTATCTCAAGGCAATGACAGAAACTAGCATTAAAAAAATAAAATGTAATCTTTTTTACTAAGATGGATGCAAAAAATTCACTGTCTTTGTTAGAATAATATTGAACATGAAAAAGTAAGTTTTTTTTTACTGTTGAGTGATAACGATATTAGCATTCCTTCATTTGAAAGTTTAGTGTGTTACTTTTCAGAGTTTTCAAATGGTCTGACTTTAATTTAAAGATTATTATGATATATCAGCATTATGTAATATCTGGATATATGCAACCACTATCAAAATCTTACAAAATTGACAGTATAGATCATATTACCAGTTTAATTAGCATGAGAAAGACCTTTCTGTCTAATCATCCTAGAATAACTCAAATATACTTTGTTGATAAAAAGATCATCATCATGCTTGTTCTTGGTTGTTTATCAACATTTAAATATTTAAAAGCATCAGACTTATTAATAGTCTTTAGTTAGAAATCTATTTCTATTTTTTAACATTTATTATTTTAATATATATATATAATACTCAAGATTTCAAAAATCAAAAGTTTGATTTTCTAGAATGTTGAAATCAATGGTAAACTATATATCTTTGTATTCATCGGAAAAATATATTTACTTTATAAAGGAGCATCTTACCGATGCATTTGATAACATGCAATGTAGGTGATGAGCCAATCATCACTAATGCATGCACTTTCCTATTCATATTTTTTATGGTATGCATCTGAAGTTGAAATTTACACAACTATTCATTTCACCCACATATCGTCATCTTTTATGGCCATCAACCTTTATTATCCAATGCTTGATATTCCAAAAATTGATTAAGATTCCTTCAACCTGCTAGTAGATAGTTCGGACTTTGTTCATGTAAATTATTTAAAATAAATTGTTCTCTTTTTTGCCATCAAGGTGTAAAATTCCAATCTTTGATACTCCAAATATTCATGCAGATCCCTTCAAACTGTCTATGATTAGTTCAAATATATTTGATGTAAAATAGATAAACCAAAATATTCATATTCATTGTGCTACAGCTATCAATTTGTGCTTTCTTGTTCCATTTAGCATCAGCACACGAGGGATAGTCTTCTATAAGCAACACTCCAACGCCTTGGACGTAACTTCGGTTAAACTTTGATTACCTGCACATAAATTAGGCGTATCCTTTGTAAATTTCGATTTAGTAATTGTCATTTTCAGCAGGCTCTGTTTTTTTGGAAGACAAGTGGGTTGGCTGTCGAACTGCAAGATATATGTGTAATGAATGGACTGTTCCAGTAAACACAGAGAAAGTTGGAGGCTGCTGTTGACGTGAATCTCACATTTTGGAGTTCGCGTAGATCAAGATAATTCAGTGCTGCTGGTGCTACGCTTGTCAAATTATAAGTTGTAGATTTCTTGGTACTCTGTAATTGGATTGATCAGGTAGAAACTACAAGCGTCAATCTAACTCCCCATTTGCAGTTCTTGCCCAGTGATATAGGATAACAACCCAGTCTCTACATTTGCAGGTCCGGAAATAATTAACATGTCGTGCCTCTAATACCTGAACCGGCCTGGGGAGCAGACAACAGTTGCAGCTTGCAGGAACAGCAGGTCGTTGCTCACTCGACCTTCGTCAGGAATGATGACGGTTTACATAAATCGAATGCTTGAACATCTAGTTTTTGATCTCTTGAGCAGTCTTGAAAGACTCAGATATGTGACCGAAGTCTAGGCAAGCTCTCTCTGCAAGGTTTGGTCAATTTGAACAGAAGGTAATAATACTACATTCCCCTTACGGGTCAATCTAAATTATGGCGGAGTGGTGAGTGAGTTGAATGGACAAGGCAGTAGTGACGATGAGAAGATAGGAGCAAAGCATCAGCATCCTATATCCTCGATGTGTAGCTAGGTCATTCGTCCCCTACTTAGAATTCCAGACATAATGAAAATTGGTTACAGCCTAGACGGGAGACAATAGTACGAAGGTGGATCCATCTGTCTAAAGGATGTTCCAACTCAACACATGGAGAGCTTCATTAGCATGTAAATCATGAGAGGCGTCGTGTCAATGGAGGCAGTAGATGGCAAAAATCTCCGGTTTTGTCGAGGCCAGAAAAGGCACATTTTATCATGATTGCAGGGAACTATGGAGGAGGAACTGTCGAGGAGCCAACATTGACGTCGAAGGTGCGAGGACGGTGAGGATCAGGGGGTGGATTTTTGGGTACAATCACAGTTAGAAGACCATCTTGACAAGCCGCTGAGATGCCATCCAAGTTGGCGTTTGCCGGTAAGTTGAATTTGCGCATGAATTTGCCAGCACTCCGCTCCACTCGAACGTACTTGATCTCGGTATCCGACGCAAAGTCGTCGCGCTTTTTCTCTCCGCTGATCTTCAGCACGCTGTCATTCTCCACTTGTACCTGCACCTTTTATTCACAGCTCAATACCCACCCTCCAAACTGTCAACGTTGATATACATGATCCGTCCACATCTACTGGATTTACTCAATGCAGTTGATGTGAACGACATCTTTATCAATGCAGCAGCGACTGCGCAACGCGGCGTGTCTAGTGAGTGCAGTAACCACAGAAGAATGACTGAAAAACATCAGACTACATCAAATACATCTCCAGAATTTGACAACGAAAGAGCTCTCTCTACAATCATGAAGTCAACGACTGATGTAAACCAATAGGAGGGATCGGAAACCTTCTAGACTCGATTTGACGTTTACACCTAGATTGAATGCTTGTATATTCAAGAGACTAGATTTCCACTCCAGTACTTCTCTAGTTTGGAATGCCTCGTTTATTCCGATGCGCATGCACTGCAAGGAGCTCATGTACATGTCAAACTTCATATCTGAAGAGAGTACACACAGCTGCAGCCAGAAGTTCGTTGGAATGTACCAACGAGAAATCTAGATCCTGTTGCAACCTGAAACGCCATTCATGTCTCTGAGCATCATCACGCATTGCTTAGCCTAAAACACTAGGAGTTGATAATGCAGTACTCAAAAAACAGAATAGTATCATGGCATAAACTCGGTATTTGTTACTTCCTACTTTGATCCCCAATCGTACCTGCCACAGCAGCTTTCCCTATATTTCTGACTTGAAAGTGACTCACTTTGAAACAGAGCGAAGACTTCGGTAGGTTATATAGAAAATGTGATGATCATCCATGAAATTGTTTGTTTCCATTGGACTCACCTGAGTGGGATAGAATACTGTAAAGCACATGACTCAGACATTAGAGTTTGGAACACTTGATACTTTTATTCTTCGAGTGCTACAGTAATTAAAGCATTCACATCCAGGAGGCTCTACGGCATTTTTATACCTTGATTTCTGAATGCTTCAGCCCAGGCATGTCTGCAACAAAGACGTAGGAGTTGGGAAGCTCTTTCACGTCCACAGCTGTCGTTGCCATTGCTTCTACCGTCTGCAAAGGAAAAAGCCATATTTCACTTCTCTGCTCTCGTTTATTCGCTACCTCACAGCTGTTTGTCACTGTCAAGGGGACCAATGTTTCGACGGGTGTGGTGGATCCACTGGGGCTCGGTTTCCGTTCACGGGACTTTGGAACAGCGAAGCAATTTGGGAATCGTAAGCACATGATGTGGCTGAAATTTCACTGATCAACTTTTAATTAATGATTCCGAAGGGGCTTGTAATTTATTGTTGAATCTGAGAGTTTGATTTAATAAGTTCCAATGACTTTTCTTCATGGGCGTTGCCATATTACTCAGCTCCCACAAGCCTTCTAGATCCACATGCTGCCGGTTAGGGATTGAGGAAGGCAACCGGGTTAGGATTCATACACGTGCACAGTCCTTGAGGCAGAAAGAGAACTTAGCGAAGCAGTTCGACAAACACAAAGACGATCCAGCTGCACAATTAAAACACAGAGAAAATCCTCTACGAATCTGCGACTTAAATCGCTCAGGTATGCATGGACAGCATCCCTGCACAAGCGCCAGCAATTGCACCCAACACTCAAAACATGCTGGAAATGGTCAGAAGCTGTTGAGTTTGTCTTTGATGAGCTTGAACATCTGTGATCGGGCTTGGAAGACGATGAAATTGCTATTGAACCTATGAAAACTGTTGCGATTGTCGCATTTGAAATTTATGAAGTAGGATACTCGGCTCTGATGATGTGTAGAGAAGGGCTTCCCTACTGATAATATGAAAGGTTCAAGGAGGAAGAAAAGTGAGTTCAAGTTGTTCGAACCTTGTTCTGAGAATGGCCCCCTGACCAGCGCTTCGCTCCTGAATAAAGACCGTAGTCAAGAAATGTGATATCAGCGTATGGATCCTCTCGTTCGTTACCTTTCAAAAGTTCGTGAGCCTTGGTTTCCGATGGAACCCCGAGTTGAGACGGTGTTCCTACCGCAATATTGAAAGATGATCCACGTCTGAGAAATTGCGATTTCCTTCCGTCGACTACTTGCAATTGGGCATTGGTGCCATTTGGAGGTGGTTGCAATTCTGTTCCATTTTCAGATTGGGACTCTGTATCAGCCAGAGGTTGTGACTGTGTTTCAGCCGACGTTTGTGCTCGTGTCCCATCACCGGTCACTGCCGTCACTGCGCTGCCGGCAACTGGAGGCGCAGCATGGAGTTGATGAACTTCTACAAACCTGTTATCCAGGTTGCGGGTATTTGTGAGCACAACTGGCAATGGCACGCATTAATCTGGACGAATCATTTTCCACGGTCGTGTGCAACATCTCATCTAGGGTTCTGAAGTAGTAACTCCTGAAAGCAATTGCTCCGACCCAATCTTTGTTATAATCCTCTGATAGGACGATTTGCCTAAAGTCAGTTTCTTCTTCAATCCCTCAAATTGATAGGGTTTAATCCCAAGGGACTCTTACGATGGACCGGAGAACGACGTAATAGACGCCCCAGACACAGGGAGCTAAATCTACCATTTCTATTTTTTGTAACGCGCGCATTCTTCCATAAAACGATGATTATTAGGTCATGGCTCAAATCTAGGACGGGACAGGGATTCGCAAAGTCTTCACGTGTCAGTGATAGTAGGCCAATTCTCGAAGGGCGGGACGTCAAGGGTATAAAAAACACGAGTGTACCGTCACGCGAAGAAGGAAGGAAGTCAATCCTTTACCTGCTCCGAGAAGAAACTCTCGCTCACAGAAGGAGAAAAGAGGCAGATTAGAGAACGAGCTGGCCGGCCTTTCGCATTGACGAGCACCACTAACGGTGGCGGCGTTTAAGCTGGTGCAGATATGGAGCGAGAGGCCGATGCAGAGATAGCAAGCGAGGCGTCGAAAGGTACACGGCGAGACCGCGGGTTCGCGGCAGAGCAACGTTGGAAGGGGTACGAGGAGGAGGTGGGAAGCAAGGAAGGAAGGAAGGAAGGAAAGAAGGATGGAAGGAAAGAAGGAAGGAAGCAGTGGGACTGTGCTCGGAAGCAGGGGCTGGCCGGACGTGGCAGTTAAAGCTACGGGATCTCTGTCTGTCTGTCCGTCCGTCCTTCGCAGAAACAGAGAGATTGACTTGAAGTGCGAGCCCATGCATGCACATGCATGGGAACGCGAACGCGAATGATTCCGTCGATCACATACATACATACCGAGAAGGGCAGCATGATGGAAACTACGATACAGGACTCGGGAAGTGACCTCCGGTCATCATTCGCCGAAGTCACGTGGCACTCCAAGGTACCCGCTCTGTGCTGAATTGAAGTTCGCTATGGAAATGTTGTGTACACCCGGCTAGAAATACCGTCGGAACCGGTCACCATACTCAACTCTCTCGACGACGACGAACCGGTGAGGCGTCTGATAGAAAAGTACTGATAGAAAAGAACGCGTTCACACTGGTGAACTTCGAGGCTCGATGCTGAGGAGAAGTGTCTTCTTATGGCTCGTAGTGGCCTTGACGTAAGGACTTCGTTAGTGTTCGGACGAAGGGCTCGAGTGTCAAATGAACAAATGTGAACGAGAAATTGTTTCACACTCGAACTGGTCGAATTACATTCTGCGCAGAGGACGGTAGTACTGGAAGATTTTAAGAAATGGGGAGTGAAATTCACCTGGGACTTGATAGCTTCGATCTCCACTTCGAGGTACCTGTGATAGGGAAGCCCCAGTGCAGGCCACTGTTGCTGTTGACGAGAGTTCTCCTGTCGATGAAGAGGCTATCCCAGAACCACTCCTTGCTGTTGAGGAACCAGCCTTTGATTGTGATTGTAGGCGGTTCAGGTACAGGGACTGTCCACTTTCCACTGCACGCATTCCTGTTTACACCATGGCAGTCGTTTCCTGGTGGACATTGCAAATTGCCCGGCCACTTCGTTCGTGCGTGGCGATCGCTTCCTACGCTGGCGAGCTGCCACACTTGCCCTCTCCTACCCCCTGGTCCTTGCATCTCTCCCTGTCTCCCAGTCGTAATGGATTGTCAGAATTGACATGTAGCTTAGCTTCGAAGTGACTTATCGCCGTCAGTTGTAGACTGCAAAAATCTCCAAAGTTCTTCCTTCCATCCGGAGAATTGCTCCCCTCAGTAGCAGTGAAGATGGAGATCAACATCTGACTCGGATAATTTCTTCATGTGCACAACACAACAATCACAACCGATTCCTGCTTCTTCGAATTCTAATGCCCACGGATTTCCGATCGTTGTCAGCCGTCGGTGATATAAAAAGATGTAGTTTGGTGTTTTGCCTCACCGAGATGCCTGAACCCTGGCAGCAAGCTTTCCCAAGACGACTAATCCATGGAAAATCTTCACTACGAGCTGCCGTGCAGTGCTCCAAACCTCAAACTCAATCGGTCGGACAGGAAGGGAGAAACACTTGTGCATTTGTCTGATCTCCTCTCGAACTCTGGCCTCTTTTGAGCCCCAAGCAGGATATGGAAAATCGTGGTCTTCCCTTCAGCAATGTTAGCAGCTAACCAAGTAGCTTCCCTGTGAGTGCATCGTCCCTGAGCAGTTACGAAAGAGTAGGAACGAAAATTAGCACCAGAATCGAAGTTCCGTTATTGACTACATACACGTCACTCCCAGTGCAGAAAATTGATGCCTTTACCGCTGTTTCATTCATGGCCTGTACATCTGCCAGCCACGCCAGACTCTTCGGTTTGCACAACATGTTATCGGTTGCCCTGCTACTACTCGCTAGGATCGTTCTCTCCGCATTGATAGTTCTTCTGTGCATGATCTATGGCTACATGGTGGCGCTGTTGATCGGGAGAGTGTTTCTCCCGCCGTTCTGAGAGCTCTGAAATTTGCACAGGCTAAAGCAGTGAGAAGTAGAATTGTAGTATATCAAGACTGTGCGTGTATTTATCCTGGAAGCGCCGTCGATTGCTCAGATCACTGACGCTCTTGAGCAGTAGAAGACAGTCGTGACGACTTTCCACAGTCACGCGTGCGGATTTCGTATTTTTTCAGTTGTACGAGATGAGAAGCTTTTCATGGATATTCGAGGTCAGACAAAATTCTCTTTTGATTCTTGCGATGCACGAGCAATGACACATGCAGAATTGCCTGAAATTGAGCTGCAATGCCCTTCAATATTTGTGACAGACAATGTGAGGCAGCAAACTCGAGCGAAAGAACAGAACGTCAGGGGGGCAAAATAATTGATCCATCGCAGTGCGAATCCGAGAAGTTAATGTTCTCGCCCTGCACGATAAATTTGGAGCAAGAGCGCGAGTGATGGATGCTACGAAGAACATATGTGTTTGACCATGTGTAAACCACATCATCCATCACTCGAAGGTTTTGTTCCCGATGCTGTGAGGTGTGCAATTTCATAACATGGTGATGAAGACTGAGCAGGCACAGGATTTACAAAACAGATGAGTAAAACCCGTGGGGAGAACGTGTCAGAGAGTGCTACGGTGTGAAGATCTAGGGTTAGCCTGGAACCTATGACCAATGTTCGCTTTTCTGGAAAATTTAGTCGTATGATGATGAGAAATCATGAGCTCCGGGGGAAGAGGAAGGAGAAGACGCGAGAAGACATATTTCCGCTCTCGAGAAAAGGTCCGTCCTGGTAGAGTATGAAAACATAAGTTCTTTGAAATGATACGGAAACCAACAACAAGTGCGAGGCCACAGGCGGTTACGATTTCATATGAAGAGAATTCTGAACCGTGCGTGTGAATTCGGGAGAACATCCCTCCTCGGCGTTGGGCTTTGTCGCTGGTCATTTCCGCAGTGGGTGCGATACACAATTTTGGGAACCTAAACCGTGATTCATTCCTTGAACTCAACACTTGGACGTAAATTGTGAGCTTGCCTTACTGCGAGACCTTGGGTGACTCGAGAATTGGCGGGAATTATCAAATCTCGTCGGCAAGATGGTGAGTGCCAATTTTCTTCACGCCCTTCTCTCCACATTGGTCTTCACCTTCACTTTACACCGTCACTCCTCTGTCGTTTCTTCATAAGTATTTCTTTACCCATCCCCCGTAGTAAGGCTCTGGACATCAGACGTATCCACAATGGGCATTTGATGTCATCGAAAGTCGGTTATCAAGTCAAAATCCGACCTGTTGGTGAAACTGTGAGTACACGAATGCTGCCTCACACAATCTACAGAGTGTGTACGAGTTCTTGCTTTCTGCCACGGATTTTCACCTGAATCACGATTCGTAACATGTCACTTGGGAAGCAACCAAATACGAGCTTCGGTTGCCACCCTTAGTGTGTTTCGTCACTCAAATCCTTATCATATAGCTGGCAGGCACGTCAGTGTCTCTCACTGTATTCTGTGAGTCGTTCGTAAATTCTGACCTGCCACTGATCTAAACTCCCTGCAACATCTGCTTGCCTGTGATATAGATGAATGGACAGCTCCCCCGATTGAGCTACTCCCAACTGTTTTCTTTCCAGGTTGCTCACAATCTTGTGGCTGCCCAGCAAGCGGGTGAAAGATACCATGTAAACATAAGCGCTTTCAAAGACCTTCTCAAGGTAATCTTGTGTCGTAAGAAAGCATCTTTGCATAGCACTAAGTCTGTTGCACGTCACGTACGATCCCCTATATTCAATCGGCATGAAGTTGTAGAAACGTTGAAACACCAATGAGTCTTTTCAGTGCCACACAGCTCGTATCCATCGCCTGCTCAAATCCGCTTTTCGGATGTTAATATCTTTCCAACTTTTGACTCTTGTCTACGGAATTCTTTGAAAACCAAGTTTTTCTGCCAAATTGAGGAACATTGTCAGGTAGGTACTAAACTTCAGTATGAACTTTGTTCACAAATACACGCTCACGGAGTATACTTCATTCTGCAGTCCGATGAATTACCATGAGTATGAGTTCGTTGCTTGCATGAAATCACAAATGCCAGTACGGTGAAGTCTAGATTGATGACTAGGTTATTCTTACCAGCACTGCCCGCTTGTAATAAGATCGGTAAGATGCATCAAATACACGGCTGCCATTGGAGCTTTGTTACGTTTATAAGCTACAACAGTTACAGAGACGAACTGACTCTCCAACCCATCTATGAAATCAGCATGTTTGATGTGTTGAAGTGTTTTGTTTTAAGATACTTAAGATAGATGTAGATCTTGGTGGTTCAGTGCAGAAAGGCGAGTGGAATAGGTCCATTTTGGAAGTTGACTTCACCAATGGCATGATTTTCTTGCAAGATAAAGATAAAATTATAGCGGTGAGGAACCTTTTTCCACGTATACACGAGATGTAGTTTAGAAATCACCTCAATCGCAGTAGTCAAATATTCCTGTTAAACACTGAACTAAGTGCGACAATGCTAATCGAATTCGTCTCCGTTCATACATTGTTCGCATCGTGCGCTTTCAAAGAAAGACTCTTGTGCTTGTTTATGTTAATGTAACGACAAATTAACAAAACTTTTGAATGGGCTGAAAGGAGTCCTCAACTTCAGAAACGAAGTCTAAAGCCTTTTTGAAAAGTAACCATGGCTAAATTATTGCTCGAGCAGGCTCAACCTTTCTCTGACTTCAAGAAGTTCGTTGTTTCTGGAGAGGAGTTTGAGGATAATCTTGTGTCCATACGATTCACGTGAGTCCTCGGTCTCTGATGTATTATTCCCACTCTGTGAATGGAGTTTCATGCCCTTGTGACTATAAGTAACTCTATTTTTCCTAAGACCACCTAGAGCTTCAATTATTCTTATCTTCTCTGACAGCCTTTCCTGATCGTGGAGACTATTGAGGAATTGTATTCTACAGCTGTGTAGGTTACTGTATCCATTACCGATGTTGTTGTTTAAAATGTTTTCTTGCGACCAGCGTTAGATGCCCTCGTATTCGAGTAGAAGTTTGCAGTTTCTTCAATACAAATTGTAAGCCTTTTTTGTCAGGATCTGGTCCACGGTCAGGATGTATTTCAAATGGTCTCAGTGATAGTTACAGAACTAAAACGTCATCGACGCCTACACCACAAACCGATTTTTGAGTTTCTTTGAAAAAAATCTGAAGATTTGATGTAAAAGGTTGTAAGTTATCTTACCACAGATAAAGAACTCATTGTTACCTCTGAGTCAAGCTTGCATTCAGGAAAATGTCTAATTATCGATTTCTAGGACCGCCCAGACTGGGCTCATAACATATGATATTTATCCTATATTTTGAGCGAAACCCAGTTACGATTTTAAGAGCCGCACCGTCTTTGCAGCTGGGTTTTACTTGTCACAAACTGATGAGTTCGTAGTACATGTTGTACGATGTTAATTATTGATTTCAAAACGTGCATAAACTAGTCACTAAACACCCCAGTAAAACACTGATGCGTCCGCTTGGTCATCTTCCAACTTAACAATTTCTGTTGACTGTTACAGTGGACAGCAGTGGCAAATAATGACTCAAAATTCTGCTGAGAAGGCTTGTCTTTTGCACCTTCTCCAGGTGGGAAACGATTGTAAGTAAGATAGGACATATTTCAAATGCTTGAGCAACACAAAGAATGAAAACGACCAGATCAGATTAACGAGTCTATTGAGCATCTTTACCTCAGTTACTTGTAGAACATCAACCTAAGAGCTTCGTTCATGACGATGATAAAGAAACCAAATTGCCAGATTTTGTGGATTTTTCAGTGCGTCTCAAAGGATACATCAGCTGAAGAGGCCCTCACATCAGCCAATCCTGGAACATTGGGTCTGGTGGGAACCTCGTCCAATCTATGTGTATCAGTTTTCAAGTACATAATGAAATATGCACATGTGGGAAGAGTAGGGAAATCAGACAAAAAGAGCAAACTGGGAGGTAAGCAATGTGAACTGCAGCGATCATGTATTCTAGTCATCGGATCATTGTGATTGTCATAGGGCTTAATCCGAAGCTCCTGTATGAAGCAACAGACTTATCTGCTAGGTAGGCGCTAGTTCTCAGTCCATGTGGGCTGAAGGACTGCAAGAATTAGGCAAACCATGATATTTAAGCAAAGGTTTTTGATAGGTCAAGATATCTGGAGAGGACTTTTCTGTTTACTTTGTTAGATTTGCAACTTTCTTGTTCTAAGAACCTCACTGGAAAACTACCTTCTTATGTCTTTAATGCAGAACAAAAGCGTTCTTAGAGCAGGCATCTTGATCCGCAAGGCGAGAACCCAGTTTAAAAAGGATGAACGCTACTGTGTACTTGTTCCCGGAAAGCTTTTCATGTTCAAGGTTACAAACCACTTTCGGAAATAAAATACCAGTTGATGTACCAACACGTTGTACATGTATTTGGCGCTTTCTACTTGAATCTGGATTATAAGTTATTAGTCGTGTTCAAGCTGCGAGTGCATTTTACGGTGATGTACGATAAATAAAACATCAACTCTACTTCAGTCTGTACAATCTGGAGTTGCTACAGTGTAGAGATTCTCTGAACATGGCTCAACACCATGCTTGGAAGAATTGGTGGCTCACATCTGCAGCGTTGTCTTTCTCTCTCACATGTTCTTTGTTCTCTGCATTCTTCGCCATGTCGTGTTTGGGTCGTGTTCTGGTACCTAGTTATGTCCTAATGGACATGAATATCAATCAAGATCTGGATCTTATTTGTTCTTCTAGTTGAGCTTATTACTATTGTTTTCAGATGTGTGTGCTGTATGACGGCTCTGAGCAGTGAACCAGATGGCTTTTAAATATACCCGGGATCTATACTTACCCTTCTGGTTCTTGATTGCAGAATCCTAACCTTCCCGGTCAGCATGTACGATATGTCACTTCTCTTATGGGAGCAAGTGTTCGAGTGAGTCCATCGCTCCCCGTTGGTGGCTCTTTCAAATCCGAATGTGTTGTGTGAATATAATGCTCGTCTTCGTATTATATGCACAGTAATGGCACTCAGAAAACTAATGATAAATGAACCCTCTTTTCGACTTCGTTCCTCGGGACTAACCACATTGAGAGTTGTGAAACGATTATCGTTCTACATAACGGCAAAGCACAAGTCATTGAATGTCATGAATTAATTTGAGCTGTAGGCAACTAATTAAGTCTATAATCAGTTGGGTGAGGTAGACAAGCAACATCGGACGCGTGCTGAACATATATTTCGGGTGATACTTTTGTCCACATTATTCAGATATTTCTTTAGCAAGTTATTAGATGCCTAGAGTGCTCGAGCAGATACAGTAATTAAAGTTTACTGTCAGTATGAAATGTATATGCTCATGCAAACAGATGCTGCGAGGACTTGAGTTTGAGCTCTTGGTCCCTGGAACGAAGACTCTCAGCTTCATCCCGGAGAATGTGGTACATGGTCTCATAAGAAGGGGATTTGAAATTGAAATTGTTTTGGAAACTTGTTGAAAGCTAGATGTGCCTACTTTTTAGGCATCGAAGTCTTTCCATAGTTCTATTCGTATGACAAACGTAGCTTTTTCTGGGACAAGACTTCAGCCAGAAGTTGGAGCTTGGGTTTCATCTGATCAGAGATTGGTAATTGAGAGATTCTGGACACTACTACAATCTATTAGATCCTCTTATAAAACTTTCTTTCAAGACGATCATAAGCTTTTGCAGGACTATGTACTTTCAAGAATTTCCACCAAAAGCACTTTTTCATTGTAGGATATGCACTTACTGCAAACAAGGTTCACAAGTCATTTTCCACTCTCAGAAGGCATAATATCAATGTGTCAGAGATGAATGAACAAGTCTGTCTTGTTTTGTCTAATTCGTCCTATCTGACTTGCAAGTGTCGTCCTATTTTTAACATGTGCCTCAATATGCTTGCAGTCGAACAGACAGTCAAGAGTATCTAGTTGTATAAACCCCACATTAGACAAGGTCCTACACCGAACACATATATCTATGGAACACGGTATGAACTCTGCAGGAAGAAGCAACGGGATGGATGGGAGCTTTGGAAAGGTCAGTGGAGATAGCACAGCAACTGTTAGCGGGTCAACCTTACGAACAGCCTGATCAAAATGCTTCCAACATGTATCCGGGCATGAATCCAGGCATGAATGCAGGCATGATGCCAGGAATGTCAGGCGGCGGTGGAGGCTTTATACAGAGTTCTAATCAAAACTTTGGTGCTTACACCAATCCACAGGATTCCAGAAACCTGCAACAACGCATTATGGGAGGTATGGGCGGTGGGTTTTATCAAAGTTCCAGTCAAGGCAAACCCCTTCTTGGTGTTACCACCCACGTGAGCAATTCGACCCCATTTGGTGTAACTGCGCCATATACAGGAAATTTTCAGGCTGCTATGGGTCAGGGGGGTGGAAACTTTCAAAACTCCAATAACCAGCCTCAAGGTAATGTGGGTTTTCAGAGGTCTCCAGGGATGCTTCAGCAACTCGGACCATCCACGAGTATGCAAGGGCAAGGTGGGGTCATGGGCCAGAACATTGCAGGACCAAGTACTTCGTACAACCAGCCTCAGGGAAATTTTAATGTTCAAACTGCTTACAATACTGGAATGACACAAGGAGCCGGTCAGGGACTCCAGCAAGGTTGGAGTCAAGGTCAGCAGGTTAGTCACACCCTGTAGCAACTAACTTGACCATTTTATCATATTCCTTACCAATGCAAGTGATGAAAGAAGACCATATCACCACTACATATGCGAATCTGAATCGAATATTTCTTGATCGCTTTCTTCAGAAGCATGTATCCTATCCACAACGAACATTTCATACTGCTCGTCACCAAGATCTTAGCTTTATTCTTGAAGCCACTTACATGATTTTCTTGAGCATGGTCGTTTCTATGTACTTCTCTTGTTGTAAATATTTTTCTGTTGCCTCATCTTCACTTCTCGGTCTGGTGTGTAGAATCAAAATGTTCCACCTGGTGAAACTGGGGTGAGAATGATTCGAAGAGCTACCCAGACATTGAGAGAATTCAACAACAACATGGATCAGTTTCTGGCAACACCCTCAAGTCCTGGTTACAGCGGTGCAGCGCCACAATCACAGAACTCTGGATATGGTGGGGCTTCTCCCCAAGCACAAGGTCCTGGGTATGGTAGGGGAGCTCCTCAAACACAGTTTCAAGGGTATGGCGGTCCTCAACAAGCACAAGGTCCAGGGTATGGTAGGGGTGCTCCTCAAGCGCAGGTTCAAGGTTATGGTAGAGGAGGCCCTCAAGCCCAAAATCAAGGTTTTGTTGGTGCTCAACAGGGACAAGTTCAGGGGTATGGTGGCGGAGCTCCCCAAGCACAGAATCAAGGTTTTGGTGGTGCTCAACAAGCTCCAGCGTTTGGGGGTGGAGCTCCTCAGATGCAGGCTCCAGGATACGGACGCGGAGTCCCCCAGATGCAGAGTCCAGGATATGGACGTGGAGCTCCACAGATGCAGAATCCAGGATATGGACGATCAAACCCCATGGTTCCTAATCAAGGACCACGCCTTCAACAGCAGTTTCAAGGACCGCAGCCAGTAAGTATTGGTTTGTCGACAAAGACGAAGTGAATGCTTTATGATCATGGACGGTTAGCAAGGTTATCCATAAAGAACCATGTTCATTCGTTTCGCTATGTGGATTATGAGTTTTCATTTGTTTACTAAATTCTTCCGGGTTGTTTTTGGACGCCAGGGAATTTCACCAGCTTCGACTTCTGCTGAGTGGAGAGAATTTACCTCTCCAGATGGCAGGACGTAAGGATCCCTCTATCAGAATCCTGGCTGTGGATAGCAGAGAATGCCACAAAACGCCGATATTAGATTCCCCATGACCTGCTTTAATACAACCATGCAATATTTTTTCTCGTGTTTATATCGTTTGAAGACTGGTTTCGAGCTTTGAATCACACATATTCACGTCTTTCTATTGTTCAATCAAACTTACGGAAGGCAGCATTCACTATGTGGTCAAGTCTTCCTCCTAAGCTTGATGAAAGTTCTCACTCATCGAGGCGATTGAATTTTTTTTGTAAGGTCAATGCTTGTCTGTTATCTAGCCTGTATGCACTTCGAGCATCGATCGATTTTTGTGTTAGCATCTAAATTATGTTCAAAATCAATGCAGGTACTATTATAATGAAAGCACGAAACAAACAACCTGGACGAGACCCTATTGATCTCATGGAGACAGAGAAGAACATATCTTCAACACGAAGACCCTATTGATATCATGGAGAGAAAGAACAGATCAAAGAGTTGGTGATCATATCCACACCCTGTTGATCTCATGATCACCAACTCTTTGATCAGTTCTTCGTGTTGAATTCCATGTATGTATACAGGACTGACTAACACCAATGCAAGTTAGATAAGTCGAACATGGCCACAGTTTCTCGTTAGTCTGTAAATCAGCATCAGGATCTGTTATTGCCTCATCTTCACTTCGACATATTCCTCGTCTTTACTCGTGAAGACAAGATAGAAAGACTTTTCAGCTGCAGAAGTTGCGTAGTCTTCAGTCGAGGCTTTTAGCATCGGGTAACAAGCTTCCACGTTTCTAGAGTTTCCATCTTCTGTTTTAGTACATGCCCGTCTTTCATCCCTTCAATTCTTCCTTCATCTGTCTTCTGTACAATTTGTGACATGCAATTGGTACTAAAAGTTGATATAAATGGTAAAGATTTACATTCTGAAATACTAGGACAAGAAGTGCGTTTGTAATCGAGTGTCATTCATTGTCATATCAGAACATCATCTGCATTCTATAGCCCATATTCCGTCATGACGTTGAAACCTTCTGTATACAAGCAGTTTAAAGGTGAAAAAAAATAGCGCTTGTAGACTATTTTTTTGGATTTCTATCTCTCATTATATTGTATTCCTCAACATAGGTCACCCTGATTGTTGTCTACGTTTGTTTTTGTGTTGATTTCGTGTCGCCACAAACAGTGAACACTGGAAGCTAGAACAGACTCTAAAACTCGATTGGGCCATGTGAAAAAAGTCACGCTGAGGGAGCAGTGAACTCACTGCAGCTCCAAACAAATAATTTTAAACACGAAGGCATCGAGCAGTCGGAGATGATTCCCTGTCGTCACTATTCTTCGCATTCAAAGGCAAATCGCTCAGGAAATGGAAACTAAAAAAATCTCTGACTGACGAACTGATACTTTGTTCCATGGAAACCATTTCAAAACATGACCTACAATACTCTTTTAGCTGATTGAAGCAGCATGTACCACGGCACAATTCATATGAGGTAAATAGTGTAACAAGGGTCTTAAAACAATAGCGAAAAGGTAAAGCTGGTACCAAAACTAAATTATAAACCTTACAAAGTCAAAACATAATCATAAATCTCAACAAAATTCGCATGGGTGATTGTTATGCGTGCAAATCCAAACTTTATAAGTTTGAACTTACCAGCAATTTGTATGAAATATCTTTATAACATTGGATAGTGTTAAAAATGATATTGTAGCTCTGTGTTGTATTGAATAAATTTTTTTTTGTGTATTTAAATTATATGTGATCTTCGAAATGAGCATTAATGCCATCTTCAATTTCAAAATTTGCCACAATTTATTGTATTAACTTCAACTAGAACCTTCATCAAGTCACATCAATGAAAGATTTGTCAATGAAAATTCTACACTTATCGACTAAGAATCTGAAGTCAACTATGATTAATAAAGTTGAAAGCTATCGAATGCAGTAACAAATAATGAAAATAATTTATATTTTCCAATTCCAGAAAAAAGGGTACCTACTACGATTAAAGTTGAAAGACAATTCAACTTTCTTTGACTGAACTAGCTATCAGTAGCGATATCCTTAATTGTGCAGAAAATTACTATCGTGGTTAGCTTATACGAACAAAAACATTGGAAATATAAAAACAAGAACACAGTTATACGTGGGGCATGCACATAAAACCAGGATGGAGATAAATCAGTCACAAAGATAAAAAAAAAAATAAAAAAAAAATTTATGAAACATCCACTGAGTAGTCTAAATCAATTCTACCTAAGATATAGCAATACAGCATAACTTTACTATCACAATAGTTGAAGATTCAAAACTGAGTCACTCGTTTGTCATGATCTCAAGGCGAGACATTACCTATAATACAAATACAAGGATCGACATTCTCTATCTGGATTTCGAGATAATATGAAAAGTGAATCAAGTCATAGGAGATAATTCACTTAAGAGAGTTTTCGGTCATAATTTAACATTGTAATTTTGAAATAAGTTGCAATAACAGTTCTTGTATTACCATCCAAATATGCGCGACTGCGACATATTCTTAGTATGAGGCAAGAACAAGAGTTTAGATTTGAATTCTTGTTAAACAAGGAAATAAATTATGATCATTATTTGTTTTATTTTCTAAGTCGTTGGAGTACATACGAACAATTAGCTGCCTTGAGTATGTGACAAGGATGTTTTGTACGTGGATTTGTTGTAATAGAAAATTACTTGGAGATTTTCTAGGACGGAAGAAGATTTGAGCATTTGTCATGATATATTATATCATGACAATAGCTTACATAAGTTAGAGAAGAGTTGGGTAGAGCAACATGCGATTGTGAAGATGAAAGGTAGACTATTAGGAAATAATAGTCAGAGTATATGAAAGGTTATCAGAAGCAGCATAGTTTACTAAATTTATGAACTTGTGTACGTGAATTTGTTGCTGCACTTGTGTACAGCAACAATTTTTGTTGAGAATGAGGTATTGGATTTGAATTAGGATCGCAATAGTTTTTTTAATGGAGCAACAACATATATGTATATGATAAATTCAATCTCGTACCTTTTAGTAATGTTTACTGATTTGATTCGGCGGCCCTTCTATCCAATTTTCTTGCATGACACAAAATACCTTTATCTTACAAGGCAATTGATGCATATGTGAACATTCGTTGATACAGGACAACGCTAATACATATATGTCGTTGATGAAGAGGGCATTGTTGACTTGTAGATAACGATAATATACACTTACAACCAATATAAATGTTTCTATGCGTACATAATGTAGTGGGTTTATTATTCCTAAAAAACTTGTGGGAGATCAAACTTGTTAAATCATTGCTACTCAAATCATAAAAACTCTTCTCCTTCGCTACTAGTCCAAGGTCCAGAATCCCAAATCGTATTCACCTTCAAACTCTAAATGACCATCTTTATCACTCCTCAATATAGCTCAATGACTTGTTACTCGAGAATGATGAATCAAAGATGCACCATTTTATTAAAGACAGTAGACAAAATATTCAAAAAATGGCAAAGATTAAGATTCCATGGAAGATAGAGTATGATGGGGCATATCTTGACTTCATTTAACTTGGAGATGCATGATATAACGCAATCTTTCTTCACATAACATTGATACTTTTTTTGCTGTATGTTCTTGACTTTATCATGATAAATGTTTGGATGTACATTTACCTTGACAAATTAAATATAGTTATTTCAAAATTTTTAATTGCAAACCTTAGCTTTTTCACTAGGATGCAAAAGTGCCAAGACTTACATGAATCACATATCTTTGTTGCATTTTTATAATGTGAAAGTAGATTCCACATGTATTAGGAAATAAGGTAAGTTCTGGACAGAAAATAAAAAAATAGATGTAGTGAGATTAAAGTACTAAGAGATAAAAAAACAAAAAATAGTTGATTTTATCAAATAAGGCAACCAACAACTTCCATACCGTCTCCGATTGGATGACAGTAGGTGCAGTAGATAAGTATTGAAAGTAGAAGAACCTACCTCACGCGAAAGTATTATGGTCATAATCCAACCTCACCGAAGTTCTTGCAATCATTCGAATAGAAGTAGTAACGAGTAGGATAATCTCAATAATTGGTATCGATGAACGATGAAGCTCGGTTGCACCCAGCTCACAATCTGGAAGTTAGATAGTGGCAATAGTAGTATTAGTAGCCGGACTTATAGGATTCAAAATTCTAGGATCTAGTGTATCACTAGGTCGTGAGAACTCCATGTAGGAATCAGTACTTTAGCCCGAAAGGTTTTCCAAGGCTATTACCGTGTTTTTGTATTCCTTCAGTTTTTAAACATTGAAATAAGATCGGTGTTTTCTTGACGATATGACAAAATCCTGACTAATCGACCAAAAACCTTACTGGAAGTGTAGAAAAAGTACTAACAGCCGGACCGGAATGTCGTCGTATTCTAGGATTTTATCCTTGATCTCTCTATCAAGTAATTATCCTGTCCAACAAGAGTAAACATACAAAATATATATCATCATGTTGTTAGAATCGGAACAGTGGATGTCTAACCATCTTTAGTTAGTTAGAACTAAATAGAATTTACTCAAAATGTCTATATAGTTACTTTAGCATGCACTAGTCATAGCTGTCACGTCAGCGATCCGCATGCTTCGTAGGTAAGTTAGCGCCAAACCACACGACCGGCACCGGCAAAGAATACTCGACTCTCATTGGCAAGCCGGCTGCCCCCCTTACCACACGGGAGCGAGCGGCAATTTGAAAAATACCATGTGGCAAAAAAAACTATCGCTCCGGAGTACCAGACACTTCCGCCTGGAAATCCGGTTTTTACACAAACTCCAATTGCACGTGAGCATTCGCGCCTTTTTCAAGTTTCTTCGAAGAGTACTCCCCACTTGATAGGAGATTTCTTGAGATTTTCTCGACGAGATGAAGTCACAGGGAACTCCGCCATATGATTTCACGAATAATGCATCAGGTTCCAACTGTCCGGTTATGGCGTCGGACATCAATGCGCAGGGTAGTACTACCATTCCAATGTCGATATTTTTTGGAAATTTTCCACACCTAGGTTTTATTTTTCCACAGTCCTTCGTGCATTCACTCCCGGGAATGCACTTTCCGCCAGCAAGTCACATTTCTTCGAGCCTCCCTTTTGGATTCAATACTGGTAATGAGAAAGTTGAATTTAGTGAAGGTGATGCTATATCGACATAAACTAGCAAGAAACAAAGAATTGCTCGTAAAAACCTGAAATTACTCAGATGGATGGCGTGAAAGAGGAAATCTAGATACTCTCTGTATGATTGCCTTGAAAATCCGTCAATCTCTTCAGATCGAAGTCTTTTGCATGTTCCGGGCCTGTATTTTTATTGCATGACAATTTCAATACATATGGGTGTGCCTAGATAGTGCCTTCGTCTGCGCTCTTCAATGATTGTGCGTCTTAACATGTAAATAATATAGCAACTAAATACACTTGTATGATCTATATTCACTATCTGAGAGCATGTTTATGCGAGTTTCTTTTGGGGTAATATTGTTCTTGCTTTATATTAGACTTTTTGTTAAAGCTGATGATTTCTCTTTTTTATTGATGGATAGATGTGTTATTGATGGATAGATGGCATGGCATACTGTACATGATAAGAAACAATGTCCTAGAAGAGTGATATGACCATAAAGCTTATCTCAGTGAGTTAGTAATTTGGTGTATGTCAATTCTATTTATTTGTGTTTTTTAATACACTCTTATGTGTTTGTGTTTTGTTCAGGTGTTGATAATTGGTCATGACTTCACACGAAGCTTGTGTCAATGTGTCCTGATTTTAATAAAGACAGTGAAGCATGTAGAAAAAAGTGGAATCCATCTATAACGAATACAAAGAAAACAAGGCGATGAATACGAAGTAGGGATCGCAACGATCGGAGAAATGCCGATGGTATCTCTTGAGTGAACGAGTTTATGTTTGACATGGCAAACGTTATTTCACATGACCATGCCGATGTTATGGACGGAGATAGAGTGAAGTGCAGCGTCACTTCGGAG